CACTTGAATCTCACATAAATTGCTTGCAAAATTGCCTCGCTCTTTTTCTCTCAATTTAGTTTCACTTCTGCGTTTGTGCAATGCCTGTAAAAGAGAACAATCACTGTTATTTAATGAGTTAGTAATCAGAGTTTGATTGAGACGCAATTACTGATCTTCCATCGAAGTTGAGTCCTTGAACAATACAAACTCCAACCCTATCCTTTATCCGGATTGTGTCCTCTTCCCATGAGGATACTTTCTTTCCTCATCCAATATGCAACCTTTTCGATCAGTTTAGGAGATATTGCTACTTTATCCTTGAGACTTATCTCATTCACGTGTATCTCACATGTATAGGCTGATAAACACTGTGTCTCACATGATGGACCTAGTCCATGACTGAGTTCATTTGTCATTTTTCAAAACTTCACTTGAACTTGGGCCAACAGGTATGCTACTCACCTCTCCCCTCTCTTTTCTTTTTGTATTTTGTTATAGTATATGCTCGCCTAGTGTTTGTTATGTTGTAGTAATTTTCAGTAGATTGTAGCTAGTTTTCTTCTTGTTTTTCTTTTGAAATTCGTTTTTTGTAGACTTGTTGGTGAAGGGGCTGTGTGTATAATGTGGTGGAAAGGTGTATGTTGTGGGTGTTGAATGAAGTGTTGTGGGGTGGGATGGTGTACTGGAGTTTTTGATTTGGGGGAGGAATTGACGTGTCCATGAGGGCTATATGTGTTAGGATAGTGCCTTGCCCACAAGGTGTTTGGGAAATTGCCCTAATGGAGTTATAAGGGCTAATGTGACATGGTTGTGGTGAAGTCTGAGTAACCACCCATAGTCACACATTTCACACACTCACTAATAGGCGTTTCTCTGTTTGCCAGGTAAAATGAGTTCATCTAGGAAGAGACGCAACACCGGATCCTCCGCGAGTGGACCAGGAAGCTCCTCGAGAGCTAGGAGCCAAGCCAGTGCGCCCCAGTTTGACAGCACTAGGTTTGTATCCAAACCGGCGGAGGACAGGTACAATGCAAAGGCAGCTAAGAAATTGCTACATGAGGTGCATATTGACCGGGCAACCTTAGAGGTGGAGTGCCCGAATATCTTCAATGAGTTGAGGAGGTGTCAGCTGGACATCTTCTTCGAGGTACCGGAGGAGGCCAATGTTCAGATGGTGAGGGAGTTCTATGCAAACTTGCCGGAACATGAGCATGGGTTTGTTACTGTGCGCAATACCCGGGTAAATGCCTCCCTCGAGACCATCCGCCGGGTGTATCGCCTCCCAGTATTCACGGGAGAGATGGATGCTTATATAGCTTATCATCGCCCGAAGGTTCAATGGGCACCAATTCTTGATGTCATCTATATCCCTGACAAGTCGTTTATATAGATAAAGCATCTAATAACATTGAACTCACAGTCTCTTAATTGGGAGGCGAAGTGCTGGCTCACCATTATCAACACCCGCTTTCTACCCTCCAGCAACACGATTGATGTCAATGGGCCACGAACAGCGGCTATCTACTGTCTTATGACACACCAAAATTTTGATGTCGCTCGGCTCATCCACGATGAGATGTTCATTCGCTCCCCTGAGATACTCAAAGGCTTTTACTTCCCTTCTCTGGTCACCAAACTGTGCCGTCTGGCTAGAGACCCTGCGAACCTTAGAGTTGACGGGAAATTACCCCTGAAATCCCCGTTCCTGGCTAGAAAAATTGGAATTGGAAGAGAGTCGGTGGTGAATGTTGATGAATCAGATGATGAATCTGATGATGATGATGCTGAGGCAGCTGAGGTCCCACCACCTCCAAGAGTGGAAGAGGCAGGCCCATCACAGCCCCGCCGGAGCACCCGCATGACAGCTTTGGAGCAGGAGATGGCTGGGTTGCGTACCTCAGTCACTAATTTGGGTGCCCGTGTAGACGCGGTGGCTGACATGCAGGTGAAGTCAGAGAAGAAATTCTTAGGATGGCTGAGAGCTCTGGGTCGTGCTTGCAATGTGAACCCAGACACTGTCTCCGATCAGGAGTGATCTTTCAGGGGAGTTCCTTTACCTCACTGTTCTTTAAATTTTTATGCCATGAGGACATGTCTACATTTTAAGTGTAGGGTGGGGGATACTTTAGTGTATGTATGTATTTGTAACAATTGACCGTTTGATTTTGTTTTTGTTGCTTTGCTTTGCTTGTTTTTGGTGTTTTGAGTAATAGTTCATTAGGTAAGTTAAAGTAGGCAAGTGACTTGTCCCAACAACGGAACTCTTTCGGCGGGGTTCTTGAGGGACTAAGTCGAGAAAAAAAAAAGGAATATGGAGACTCTTCCTGATGACGGATCCTTTAGACAACTTTCTTGAGGGAAGTAAGTCTAGAGAAAAGACAAAAAAAAGATTTTTTTTGTTATTTTTAGGTAGTGTAGTAACGCCCCCTTGGTTTTTCTTTGGGCCATCTTTTCCAAGGGTTTAGCTTGAACCGGGTGTAGGTAGTTTTTGTTTATTTTGTTTTTCTTGTAGTTAGGACTAATGGGCTACGAGCTAAAATGGAAGGAGAAACCCTTAGCGTGGATACACCTGAATACAATAGACACTAGAGTGTAACGCTTAGTCTCAGTGGTTGATTCTTGCTGAAGTGCCTTAAATTGCATGTTTGTCACTGACTTGAATACTCAGAAGAGAATGTCTTGATAAGCCAATCTGGAATGAGTCATATGCCATGTGGGTGCGAGTTTTACTGTATTCCATGATTCACATTTGATGCCTAGAACTTGCCCTGTGTGTTTGCAAAGCGAAATAGTAGTTTCATTCAGTTCTAGAAGTGATATAGGCATTTCTTTGTTGAGCCAGACATATAAAGTAAACCCACCTGAATGTAATACATCTTAGTTAACCCCATCGAGCCTATGAGCCTGATTCTTTGGCAACCACATTGCGAACCTTACCCAATTGTTTGAATAGCCTGTTGTTTGAACCCTTTTACCTCCCATAAGCACTTGAATGGCATTGAAATTATGCAAAAGCAAAAGTGTGGGGTGGTGGTTTGATTTTTGAGTGGAACCATTGAAATAGAGAAAATGTGCAGAATTTTGAAGGGTATAAGAATAAGAACCACAGGAAAAAAAAATGATGAGTAAAATGTAGTAATCAATAAGTGGTGGTTTGTTACAATTGCACCTAATGGATGGGGATGTTTTAAATAGAAAGTGGTGGAGTGTTTGGTTGGCATAAGTATGGTTTTAAAGGTTAATGTAATTGTATTAAAAGTGCTTAGGGAGGTTAGTCATTATATCCAAATATATCCTACCCGTCCCTTAGCCTACATTACAACCAAGTGAAGTCCTATTGATCTTAAACTGAGGGGGCTCGATTAGTAGAGTATTACACTACGGGCAAGCCTATGGTGCATCTTTGTGGCATGTGAATGTTCTTTTGGAGAGTGAGAGAATTTTGTCCATCTGAGTTCCTAATTGTTTTAATCATATTAAGTGTGGAACTACTCTCTTGTGTGATGTGAAGGCCATATGATTCACAAAGGAAGGGTAAGTCTTGACTCTTGTATAGAGTAGTTTGAGTAAGTACGAATGCTGCGTGGTACGAGAGATTCGACTTTTGAGGTAAAGGTTGCTCACTACTAGGTGCAACTTTGGTAAATTGTTCAAGGTGTGAGTCGTTAAGGGAAAAGCTTAGGGAAGGAACTTTGATAGAGTATGGTGGATTGCTAGAGGACTAGCAATGATTTAAGTGTGGGGTGTTGATATTAGACTATATAGATAATATTTACACCTTAATATTGCCATGCTTTATTGTTGTTTTATAGGCAAATTGCCAACAAAATGCTATAAATGGTGTTCTTTTGTTTCACAGGGAATATTCTAAGTGAGGAAGCACCACGGAGTGTTTTGGAGGCAATAATGTGAAGAAAAACGCCCACTCAGAAGTACCCGAGCACAAAGAAGCAAGAAAATGGACTGAGTAAATTCCACCGCGACCGCGGTGGAACCGCAGTGGAACCGCGGTGGAACCGCGACAGATCAAGCGTCGAGGCAGAATGCTCAGCGTGCACCGCGGTCGAGCCGCGGTCTTGCCGCGACCGCGGTGCACTGTTCACTCGCTAGGAATTTGGGGACCAAAGTGTAAATTCGGAAAAACTTGCTCCAAACCCTTATAAGCTTTAGAAACTCGCCCAAGATTGGTTTAAGCTTGTTTTTAGACTACTTTGGGGCAAGAACACGGGTGACAAGAGTAACAAAACATTAGAATTCTTCTATCTTCTTTTGATTATTTTCAATTACCCGTTATAAATAATTTAGTAGTTTTATCTTCTTTTGTCATGAGTAGCTAATTTCCTAGTATCGGGTGTTGATGGAACCTATTGAAGGATGAACTTCCTGTTATGTTAATATAGTTTGCCGGTTTAATCTCTATTTGTTCAACTATGTGCTTGTTGTAGTTAATTGACAGGATCCTCAATTAGATGTGCCTATTTAGTGTGCATAACTCGGGAGAGAGTGCATATTTAGGTAATTATTGAACAACATCACTCCTAAAGTATATCAGGGATCAATAACTGAGGGTTTGAAGGCGGGATTAGGGATAACGAAGCCTTGGGTGCAAACTAAAGTGAGCTGCAATAAATAAAGTCAGCTAGCGTAACTCGGGAGAGTGCATCTAGTAAATTGTCGTGATTACTCCGGAGAGATTTACGGTAATAAGAGTGATCATGATTGATAAAGAATATTTGGTGAATCTATGTGAAATATAACCGGAAGGGATTCCATCAATAGGGGAAATCATAACCTTAGAACCTTCTCTTAATTGTTTACAACTTAATCATAGTTAGTTTTCAGTTGCTTATTTACATTCATTCTTAGTTAGTAGAAATATCTTCAATTGTTATTCAAACGTTTGGGAAGGTTATTCCGTAGAATTTAGTAATTCCAACAATAGTAATTGATAGGTTAATTCCTTGTGGGTTCGACTCTGGGCTAAATACTCAGATTATATTTGCAACGTCCGCGTGTCCTTTTATTAAGGCATAATTGGACGTGATCATTAACTATAATCTCCTGGCATATAGAAGATACAAAGGATTCCTACATTTGAACACACTTGGAATCATTTTTATGGAGTGTAATTGAAGGAGAATGTTTCCTTTGTAGTTCCTATAATTGCTGGTGCACCTTGCTGCAAATCTCGTAGAAACCTGACTATGGCTTGGATGATGCAATCTTAGCAAATTAACTTCTGTTTCTTCTTCCTGGAAATGGAATCCACAATTGTAGATTCATTGTCGTACTTTCTTCTTAACTTGTTCAAGTCTTCCTCACTGACCCGGCCATTCAGCTTTTTGTTCAATTCATACGCTTCACCAAGTCTCATCCGACATTCTTTGCTTGCAGAATCATGGGAAACAACTAGAACAAATGAAACACTGAATCAATATATGCATAGTTACATATTTTACCACTCATTCCTACAAAGTGAACTATAGATCTATCGATTAGGAAATGTAACTATAGTTGCTTCAAGCGGGTAAAATATGACATAGCAGGGAGACAGGAAATCAAGAATAAATACCAGAATGAGCAAAATCCATCACAAAAACTAGCTAGGACTAAAAAAATTCAAGATCTAGAAACCAAAAGTCTATGAGAATTCAATTTCATTATATGCAAGATGATGCCGAAATAACCATGAGTGAATCAGTTACTATAATGTGGAACTTTGGGATACAGTGTTGTTTTAGGCATGTTTGAATTACCAAAATGAAAGAAATAATAGTCCAATCTATGTTGCTGAATCAAAATGCATGTGCATCCTTCTGAAAAAAATAAACTGTGTACCATATGAAAGAGCATATGATTCCACACAATATAAATATAATGGGCGTCGAACATAACAAGTTTGAATGTCAGATGGATAGCCCGACTGCAAGAAGCAGAAATAACTGACCTGGGTTTGGATAATCTAAGCCAATGATGCATCTTGCTTTACGCTGGACGCTTAAGGGAGCAGTCCAAGGCTCATATATGTACTCCTTTGGCATATCTGTCATTGAATTTAGAGTTGCCAATAAGAGAGACAAAAGGAGAAGGAATTGCAGCATAAGAAAATCAGTTCAACGTACCCTTTAAAACAGGGAGAAAATGCCTGATGTAGTTCCCGGCAGGATCATATTTCTTCCCAAATGAGGTTGGTGAATAAATTCGATGGTACTGAAAAGTAGATAACCCCAATGGTCAGAATATTTGAGGTCATCCAGGACAACTGGTCGAGAAAACTATGCACTTCCTAGGATAAACACTTAGGATCGCCTGATTAAATTTACTCAACATTAAGAACCACCTGATTCTTTTTAAAGTCTTATACTGGAACAAATAAAAGACCAGTATATCATTCAACTGCTTAATTTCGTATAATGTGATCTTTGGGATAACAATATTCTCAACATAGTGAATCTAATTGATGCATTTTTGTGACCAATGGTAAAAAATATTAAAACACCAGCGCAAATGTAGAAAAGCAATCCTCATAAACAACATATATGATTCACCAAATAGCATGCACCTGGTAGAAAAACGAAGAGCATGATAGCCATAACCAGTTTCCGTTGTTGATTGCCCAATCAGAGTCAATAAGCAGTCTATCGAAAACATCACGCCCTTTCTCCCAATGCACAAACTATCAACACAACACTAACTAGTAAAAAAGGAAGAAATTATTCAAAAAATTAACTTTTACCCTAGAGTTGAACTGATTTACCAGATCCCCACGAGTTAAAAAGCAAGCAACACTGTGTCGAGCAAGATGGTGCATCCAACCACATTTCCGGAGCTGAAACATTGAGAACAAAGATCAGATAGACTGACGATATCAAATCAGACAAAGAACCTCCAATAAGTATCTCTCAAGTATACACAAAATAGCAAGGTCCAGCGATCTAACCTGGGCCATTATGGCATCAATCCAAGGAAAACCGGTTCTGGAATCTCTCCAAGCAGCAAGCAGTTCATCATCATTCTTCCAAGGGATCTGTTGGAAGGTAGACAATTATATATACATATTCCCACTATAGTTTAACAAGGAAAACTCAGGCCAGAATGAGACAAGTCAAGTATAGTAAAACATCAATTACTACAACATTAGAAATTGTTTATGAAATTGAAACAATAACTAAAAGATTCGGTGAACAGACCAATATATAAACCAATAACCAAATAAATTTCATCAACAAAATCATCAAGCTTCCACTTTCCATAAGAAAGGTAGAACACATAAGTACCAAAGAATAAGCTCAGTCATCGTCAAAGTACTCTTGAAAGCACAATAGAATTTTATAGATGCTGTTGTAATTATAGATAAGGGACCAAACTAAGAGCGAAACAAAAAATGGAGAAGGCAACATCCTAGAGATAGTTCACTCTTAAACTTCAGAGACTGAATCATTAAATCAGAAAAAACAAGAACATAGAAATTCACATGATAGGAACCTAGCATTATATAGAGGAATATGCAACAGCACAAAAAAACGGATATGAGGAACATGCACCAAGTCAAAGAAAAAGATTGCTGTCATCACCTGCTTGCATATTCTGTTACCCTTCATCTGATCAAAATTAGGAGTCCCGAAGGAAACTGTGTAGAAAAAGTCACGCCATAACAACTGCAGTAGTTGATGAAATTGTAAGTTACTTGGGCGTATAAGAGCTCTGAACACGAAACAACAGGCAATCTACCTGTCCAAGAAGAGAAACAGGCGGAGATGTATGTTTTTTTACGCTTTTCTGAATGTCCTGAATGCACTGGTAGAAATACCTGGAAGAGAGACAACCAAACTTCGAAAGGAATGTGAGGGTAAGAGATTAGAATATTTCAGAATAGCAAGTACTAATTCTATTAGCCTGTGTCCAGCTCACCTTTAAGTAAGGTGATAAAACTGTTGTAGCTGGTTTCATAAATGCAGATGGATCACCCTTGGGTTTCTCAAAATTTGCCACCCATTCCTGCAGCAGGAAATAAGTAGTTCCATTGTATTAGCAAATTGGTACAAAAGCCAAGGAGAATACATAAAACAACGGAGAGATTTGAGCTATCTATTGCATAAGGCTAAATTATGTATGCTAAACATTGAGACACCTTGTTTGCAATTGATTCTCTCAATCTCTTCAGTGCTTCTGATTCTCCACCTTTAAAAGGAGTCCATTCGTCCTGCAAACAGAATTTGTTATATGATGTACACCAAAAGGACTTCACCAAAAATCCCGTAATACATACCTCGTTTAAATCTTCATAACCAAGTTCTTTGACAGTTGGAACTCCTGACACCGCAAAATTTCCAGTATTTCCAATAGGAGGAAGAGAAGATATTGTTGTTGCAAGAGGGGTTGATGCCCAAGATGGTTGCCCAGCCAGTTTAAGGAAAGACTGATAAGTCAGAGGTGGGGATCCCCCATTCTTTGTAGAGAATCAAATAAAATTGATCAATATGGAATATAGACCTAATGTCATTCCACACTAATTGCTTTCTTCAACAAGAAAACAGAAGACCACCCTTTTCTCCATAAACGTCTTTTCCCAGAAAATAAGCAAACCGGTCCTCTGAGATTTCTGAAGCTAGTTTTTAACTCATATGTTGTGTACATACCTTATTTATTATATCAGCAGGATTGTAGAGGGTGTGACTCACAGGAGAGAAAATCTCTACACCAGCTACAGAAGCGTGGTTCTGTGGAGCAAAAGTAAATGTTCTTTAGCCAAGAACCAAATCATTCATTATGTGACCAAAAAGCTTCTAATTTAAAACTTATGTAACCCACCAAGAAACACCATTTGGGATCTGACTAAGCTTGCCTTTAGGAAATCTGACTAAGCTTGCCTTTAGGAAATTAAACCTTTCCTCAATTGGAAAGAAATTTTACCTTGACTTTTACATCCAAAGCTTGATAGTAGGGCTCCGTGTCGTACTCAAAGCAAAGGTTTCCTATGCTCCACTGAAAGTTATGCAAAGATTATACAAATCAATGGCTAGTAAAAGTACTGGTGCTCCAACGAAGAAAAATATGCTTACAAAGTTACATTGGTACAATGCAATTTGAAAGAGGAAACAAACCCCCTGAAAGGAACCAGTGTCTTTCGTAGCGTATAGCGCGGATTCAATCAACAGTTTTTTACTCTAGTTTCAACGTTTCATGGTTCTCCAAGACATCAAAGCATACACATAACTGACTTTCTTAAGTAATATAGATCAATTGTATAACTAAACAATGGAGTATAAGTAGATCTATTGAATTAGCCATAGCTGAATGGATCAAAGTGCTTAAAAAGAACAACTGTGTAACTGGAAAAGTAAAAGATATAAAATTATAAGTTGATCTAAACTGTCATGTCCAGACTTATGATGTAAAACTTCGACAGATAAACATCTCTTAAATTTCGATCCATAAATGACTACTCCAACGCTTAGCAATCAGCATGCAAACCACTGACAACACACTTTCATCAAATATAGACCCAGAATCACATGGCAAGAACACACTTTGGTAACTCAAAAAAGTCAGAGAAATCACTTCTCTTTTTCACTTCTCTTAATTAACTTATTTTCCATGTGTTGGTAACTAATTTAACTATTAACTTTTACGTATGTGCTTCACCTGGACAATCATGCCCATATCCTAGACTAAAACAGTTAACTTGCTCGACACTTAGCAAACAATAATTAACTTCCAACTTAAACAGAGTTAAAAACCCTAGAAGTAGGAGCTAGGGAATTGATTGGTACCTCCTTCAAGCAGCGAATCAAGACCTCGCCCGGGTCACCCTTGAGCACCAATAAGCGTGAACCAAGCTTCTTGAGACTCAAGTCAAGATCAACTAGGCTTTCAAGCAAGAACTGGATCCGGTTCAACCCGGATTTGGAAGAACCGGGAGAGAATGCAGTCGGGTCGGGCTCCATGTAGTGTGGATCAATCACGAAAACCGGGTATAGAAACTTCGACCCTTTAGCTGCGTACTCCAGAGCTGGATTATCATGGAGTCTCAATCCCTTCCTGAACCACATCAAAGAGTTCGACCCAGAAGCCATGTTTGAGATAAAGTTGCTTGAAAACAGAGACGAATTCAGCATTTAAATTATAATTGAGCGTACATTTGCCGTCTCGAATTGAACTTATATTTATGTTACATATTATGAAACACTAATTTAACTTTATGTTTTAGGTAGTGTTTAATGGACAAAGATGGGTGATCTTTATTTAAACGGTTAACGAGTTTCCCGCCATAAATGGGTTCTGGTACTTTTACAAGAAGGGTGTTAACTAACGTGAGCCGGGTGCTATGTATTGGCGAAATGGCGAGCATTTGTTCATTTTTCATGAGGATGTTAGGGCCAGTACGCAACAAGCGTAAGTTAACATAGAACAGGGAAACATTGGCTGTGAAGATGCCACGTCGTTTGTTGGTAGTTCTAACGCTTTGGGCTACCTGATGAGGTGGATTAATTTGGACCGACAATTCCCGCCTTGCAGAGTTATTTACTCCATTGTTTCAAAAAAAAAAAAAAAAAAAGAGAGAGAGAGAAAATTCTAATGTTTGGCTTCCATTAAAACTTTTTATATATATAATAAAAACAAAGACTAGGAGTTACATTACATAGTAGTGTCTATGCTGGGGTACCGAAGTTCCCCTAAGACGGCCATATTTTGTTCAATTGTATCAATATTATATGCCCAAAAATTCCTAACAACTTCTATTCATAGGATGTCTGTCCAAAATACATCATTTGCAAGCATCGGAGGAACTGCTAGTATGGTGGTTCTACCCAAAAAACTTGAATTTGCTGCCTCATTTGCCAATGCATCGTCCACCATATTCTGCTCCCTGTAGGTGTGCCTAACCATCATCTTGTCCAGCATTTGCATTAATAGCCTGCATTTACAAATCATAGGATTGTAAGTTGTGTTTCTTGTGAGTAGCATTTTTATTACTTCAGTTAAAAAAAATTTTTATGTCTAGCGGGATCCGGCTATTTTGTTCTGCTAGTTGGAGTCGTTTCAGTAGAGATTTCAGTTCTGCCATGATATTGGTGGTATGTGGTATATTTTTCATATACCCCATAATCCAATCCACGTTATGATTCCTGAATACTCCATCAATTCCCCCAGTGCCTGGGTTACACTTGGCGGCCCCATCTGTGTTGAGTTTATAGTGACCCCTCATGGGGTTCCCATTTAACTCTGGTATGGAATGGCCTCCTGATAGCATCATTTTTTGCCAACATATAGTACTATGTTGCTTTGGAGATGGTGTTATTAGTACTAATGTTAGCTCTTTTATTATTGAAGAGGTTATGGTTTCTAGCTAACCAATGTGCCAAAAACAAAAAGGAATGATGTTCTCCCAAGGAATGATGTTGTTGAAGGATAGCTTTTTAAGCTTGTTCCATGTTAATGGCCATAGCTGGGCAGAGAGAGTAGGATTTAACTGTTGATTTGCAGTAGATCCCTTGGATAACATTTCTTGCCAGAAGTAGGTTGCATTGGGGCATTCAAAGAAGATGTGGTCACTGGTTTCAGGTTTTGCTAAGCAAAAACAACATTGGAGGTTACAGTTAACCCCAATTCTGTGCAGGAAGGCCCCAGTAGGCAGTCTATCTTGAGTAAGGAGCCAGGTAAAGTTTTTGATTTTGTTAGGGACTTTTAACTTCCATATCCAAGTGAAGTTGCCTTCCCCACCTTTCCACAAAGACTCATTATTGCTTCTAAGGAAGGTATATGTTGATTTGTTGGAGAAGGAGCCGTTTAGAGTTAACACCCATATTAGCCTGTCCTCTTTGGCAGAGTTGGAAGGAATGAAGGTTGATTTGATTAGGTTAGTGATTTTCTCGGGGATGTCCATAGAGATGGAAGAGAGATCCCAATTCCCAAAATTGTAGACTGAGTCCACTTTGGTAGCTATGTTATTAGGGGTTAGAGGGCCCTCAATCATGTCCCTAATAGCTACATGGTATAGGATCCAAGCATCATTCATGAAGCTCACCCTTTACCTTTGTGGACAACCCATCTACTGGCCTTGTTGCATATATCCCAACCCTTGAGGATACATTGCCAGATAGGAGATTTTGGCTTCTTGGGGGTATGGTTCCAGTTACAGTGTTTAGAGATCAGAACTCTAACCCATAATCTGGAGGTGTTATGTAGATCCTCCAAGACAGCGCAGCATGTGAAGCTTTATTTTTAAGCTCGGATTTATGCAAGCCCAGCCCACCATAAGACTTCTGCCTAGTGACTTTGTCCCATCTAACCAGGTGCAATTTTTTATTGTTTGGAGTTGTGCCCCAGATAAAGTTTATCTGAATTCTATCAATTTGTTTGGTAGTCTTGGTAGGCAATTTGATGTATTGCGTGACATGTCTTGGGATACTACTGAGAGAGTCCTTGCCAAGAATAATCCTTCCGGTCATATTAAGGCAATTTATTTTCCAACTAGCTAGTTTGGATTGCATATTATCAATTATGAACTGGAAGTCATTACTAGTAGGTCTCTTATGGAACATAGGAAAACCAAGGTACTTCCCAAAGGATGTTGTAGCTTGGATTGACAGTGCATTTTTAAGGCATTCCATCGTATCTTGCCTTGTGTCAGGGGAGAAAAGGACCCTGGATTTTGTGAGATTAATTTTTTGGCCAGAATCCTCATTGAATGCCTGCAGGATAGAGTAGATTGTGTGCAGTTCCTAGTGTTGGATTTTGCAAAGAGAGTAAGGTCATCAGCAATGAATAGATGAGAAATTTTTGAGCCAGACCTGCTGATACTGATAGGGTGCCATTGTTTGTCCTGGACAACTTTATCAATAGACTTGGAGAGCCTCTCCATACACAGAACGAACAAGTAAGGGGAGATTGGGTCCCCTTGTCTGATGCCCCTAGAGGGCTCCAAGGAACTTGTTTTGCCCCCATTCACTAGGATTGAGATGTTGGATGAGCTAATGCATGACAAGATTAACTTAGTCAGCCCAGGAGGGAAGTTGAAGACATGCAGTGTGTCCCTAATGAAAGACCACTCTAGCCTGTCAAAAGCCTTCTCTAAGTCAATTTTGAGAATCATATGAGCCTGGCTCCCTTTCATTTTCCAATATGAGTAATGTATTATTGGACAATGATTGCATTATTAGAAGCCCTCCTATTTGATAGGAAACTACCCTGGCTAAGTCCAATAATTTCCGGTAGCAAGGGCTTGATCCTGTTGACAATGATCTTAGTGATGGTCTTGTAGATGGTGTTACAAAGCCCAATTGGCCTGAAGCTTTTGAGCATGTTGGCTTGGGGACACTTGGGGATGAGACAGAGATGAGTTTGATTCATGGTCTCATCCACGGAGAGAGTGTTGAAGCATTGGTTGCAGAAGTCAATTACTGAGTTCCCCACAATGCTCCAGTGAGTGTTGAAGCAGTGGTTGATTTCACTAACCTCAAGGGGCCTATCCATGCTATCTCTTTGATAGTCTGATAGGATATGAGTCATGTCCAAATGGCTGATAGTGGAGGTGGGAGCTTGGGTGTGTGAGGAAGTATAGAGGCTCTTGAAGAAAAATATTATGGAGGCCTTAATGTCCCCTTGGTCATAGAGCTAGTTTCCATTTTCCTCTTTGAGGGGCAGGATCCCGTTTCTTCTTCTCCTATTAAGAGTGGAGGTGTGGAAGAATCTAGTATTGACATCCCCTTCAGTTAGCCAATTAACCCTTGACTTGAGTTTCCAGAAGTCTTCCTCATTCTTGAGGAATGAGTCAAGTTCTCTGGTCAGGTTGCTTTCTAAGTTTAACAGGTAATTGCTGGCTAGGATCCGTCTCTTTTTGTGGAAGATGTTGCCAAATGCGTGCATGCTCCACTGGGTCACAATGCTTTTGAATGTTTCAGTTGATTGAATTAGGGGGGAGTTATTGGTGAAAGCCTCATTGATGATACTAGGGAAGGAGGGGTGGCTAGTCCACATGGATTCAAACCTGAAAGGTCTGTTGGAATTATTGAGAGAGTCACCCTTTAGCACTATTTGAACATGGCAGTGATCTGAGTGGGTCCTATGGAGGTGTATAACAGTAGCCTCAAGGTACTGGGAAATCCAGAAATCGTTAGCAAAGCACCTATTTATCCTTTCTAGAATCAGACTACTCATATTTTTGTATCTTTTGTTTGTCCAGGTGAATTTGCTGCCTTTGTACCCTAAGTTGACTAGCTTGCATTCATTAAGGCAGTTCCAAAATAAATTATTACGACTTGATTTAATGGGGTTGCCCCCAAATTTGTCCCTAGTTTTTGAAACTTCATTGAAGTATCCACCTACAAACTAGTTGTTAGGATTGCTTTAGGAGATTGTAACCAGACTTTCCCATAGCAACTTCCTATCAGCTAAAAAATTGCTAGCATAAATGGCTGAAAATAACCAAGGGGTGTGGGATGTGAGTACCCTAACCATGGCATGGATGTCCTGAGGGGTAGTGGAGACCTCATAAATAGTGATACAATCTTCTTTCCACATTATCACTATCCCACCAGACAAGCCATCAGCCGGAGATTGGATAAGCATATCAAAATGCAGCTCCTCCGTCAGCTTTTTGTGATTAGCCATCTTTGTTTTTAGTAAGACCAGCAGTGCTAGCTTGTGGAGCGGAACCATGTCCATGTAGTGCCTCCTGAACTTCGCACTGTTTCCACCCATAACATTTCATATGATGTAGTTCATCAGGGGTGGTCGGCGGTTTGGGGATTGGTTTATGTGAGGCTTCTTCATTCCCTAAGGAGACCTCATTAGTTTCTTTTGGTTCTTTTTCTGCATGCTTAGGACTGGGGTCAAGTTGAGGAGTGGTTTGGTCCCACCCTGGGTGTGGTGAGAGACTAGGCTCAGACCACACTTGGTCATGGTTCTGGGACACAACAGCACAAGCACTTCGCTAGTCTCCATACTGAACTCGATTGCTCTGATTGAGTCTAGTAGGAGAGAGTCTGTGCGAAGGGGGCCGTAGGCTGTTCCTTCCATTTCCGGTGGGGTTTTCCTTTTTAAAAGATCTAAGGCTTTGTTGATTTTCCTTGTGATATTTCCCATCGGTAGTGACTGGTTCTTCTCTACTGGAGCAGAAGGTGACAGAGTTTGGTGGTTTTAGGGTTCGATGGTTACAGATACCGGAGACACTGCTGGGTCCTCCATTCCCGGGTTTGGGAAGAAGGGGATCGATTGGAACGCTTGAGAGATTAGGGTGTTGAGTATTGGTGGGTCCAAATTGGGTTGCATGTTGCCATTGCTTGTCATCGCCTGCCACAAGCATGGACCAAAGGCCGCCAAGGCCCTGTTTAGGGCTTCTACCGTTACCCTCTCCAGATGCGCAGGGTTTTGGACAATCAGGGTTACTAGTTGATTTTCCAGGGTGAACTTGTAAGCTAGTCCCTATCCTTGAAGCGCCACTTCCAGGCAGGATGCCGATGACTGGTCTGGTGGTAGTGGTAGCGACGTCACAATGGCGGGGGATGGCTGATCTTTTTCATTTTTATGCTTTTTTGTTTTGCTACTTTGGGTAATGGTGGGGGTTATGTTAACGAGCAGGCTCATAATGGCGTCATTTGGTGTCAAATCTAGGTCAGTAGAAAGGTCATCGGTTAATGCATATGGAGAAGTGGATTCAGATCTAATGTGGTATTTGTTTGAGTGGACGGAAGGTGTCATGTCACCGGAGATTGGGTGGGTTCTCAGGTGAGGCACTTGAGTGTTCATGGAGTGTGTTGAGTTTTTCCCATTAAGGTAGTCCGCTGAGATAAGAGTAGGGGACGCGTAGGTATTTGGGTAGGGGTGATTATTTGGGCTGGGTGGTTCCAATTGGGTATGGACCCTAATTGTTGATTTTGTATTGGCTTGGTGGCCCAATGCCACATCTTGAGCAGTGTTTGCGTCTGAGGTTGGGCTATGGGTAGGGTCCTCCTTGTAGGCATCACTAAAGGGCCCAATGGAATTTTTGGTGTCATCTCTATCAAGCCCCATTCCCGCCTTGCGTTTGGCACTGTACTTAGATTGGGGCCGTGTGTATTGGGCTACTGGGGAGAGGGGGGGGTGGCATTTTGTTTATTGACAGGGCCGCTGGGCCTATTGTAATTTTTGGGTAACGACAAAAATATTACTCTACCTCCTTTGTCTCATTTATGTGATGCAATTTTCTTTTTAGTATGTCCCAAAAAAAATATACTTTTACACTTAAAAAATAATTAAATTTGAAACTATTCCATTTAGTTTTAATGAAATTATTTATAAATACACATTACATCCATATGAGTGCGGCCCTTCCCCAGATCCTGCACGAATGCGAAATACTTTGTGCACTGGCTACACATACATTTATAATAGAGAGAATATTCCAAAGAGTAATAGGAGAAAGAGAATAAAAATATGATAGAATAAAAAAGAAAAGAAGTATATCGTAAAAAGAGAAAAAGAGAATAGAAGTATTAAAGTAATGAGAATTTAAAAAATATAAATTTAATGTAAGGCTATTTATGTCTTGATTAATTAATTTCTGCTTCTGCTTCTACTTCTTGGAAGAAGATAGAATTTGTAACTTTTCTCAAAAATCAACAAAACTGTTTTTGTTGTTGCTTAAAAGTATTTTATTTATTTGGTTAAATATCTTAAGTTTTTTAAAAAGTACTTTTTTAACATTTTTTTTTTTTTTTTTTTTTGCTTTCCACAAGCTTAGCCAACACATGCTCTTACTAGCAAACCCGAATTTGACTCGAGCTAGGCGGCCCAAGGCCTGACTCCACGAATTCCTGATTGTTTTAATTCTCAATATGGTCTGAGCCACACGCGCCTCTCCCTCCCACACACGAAGCGAAAAAATCATCTCGTTCCTAAACAAAGTGCAGTCATTCCAACGCCACACCATTTTCCTCTCCACTATTCATCTGCACAACGTTGCCCCTCTCTCTCTCTGTCTCCTTGAATAATGAGTACGTCCTCTATCCTATCTCGATTTGTATTTTATTGGCGTCCAATAAATATGCGTCCGACAGCGAAATGAACAATATAGATCTTAATTAGTCTTAAAGTTTATTGATTGAGTAGAAATGAGCTAAATCTTTTGATTTTTTACACAGGTTTGGGAAAGAAGATCGGGATAGGGCTCGAAGGTATCAACTCATCTCTATTCATAGATTTTGTAAACATTTTATCAGTTATCAGTTTTTGCTTATCATTTCCACCTGAAACTGTCAAGTTTATTTTTTTTCGTTTGGAAATTCAGGATTTGGAAGAATTAATCGTTTTATTACGAGAGCAGCTCGCCCCAGAGACGAAACCAAGCTTTCAAATGCCAGTGATGTGCTTAAGACCTCCACTACTAAGGTATTTATTTATTCTTCCCAGGTGTTGGTGTAAATTAAATTGCAATAAAAGTTACGATTAGGGAATTTCCCTATGAAGTTAAATTGTTTATGGTGTCGCGACTAGAGTGGAATAGATATAGAGGATTCATATTGCGGACCTCAAGTAGTTTATAAATGAGATATAGTTGATTGACTGTGCTGACTTTCCTATTTCTCAGAATGTTTTTTTCTCCGCGCCTTAAGGTAGTAAGGACCTTCCACATTTTCCATCAGAAATAGCTTCAGGTTGATTGGAACAGTAAAAATGATTCCACGTTTTCCATACAGAAATAGCTTCAGGTTGATTGGAACAGTAAAAATGATTAGGTGCTTGTATCTGTCACCATGTTGGTCTTTAGAATTAGCCGACTGTACCAGTGCCAGACTTGGCAGAATGTCTTTGTCGAGATTCTGATGTTAATACTTGTACGTTCTCGAGAACCAAAAACTATATGACAAAGTAGGAAGAGAGAACTTATAGGTTCATATGTTCACCTGTCATGGGGCAATATGTTTTAGATTATTTTTCTTTTCCTTCTGCGGGTGCTTTTTGATTCATCAAATTCTGCTATATGTAAGGTTGGACTTCCATTGTAAGAGGATGATCAATTAAAGATTTTAGTTGAATTTGCATAGAGGAATTAGTCATAGTCAGTTCTTTTTTGACCTGTAGCTAAATAGTGCTGTTCATTAGAGTTTCCGTAATGGAAACATGGATAAAAGCCAACTTCAGTTGCAAACTAGCTTGTGTTAATTGTTAAACGAGCTTAGATTAACTTCCTCAGTCGTAGTTGTTCTTGGTCTCTCCTTTAACTGACTGACCTGTGCAAAGTGCACCATAATTCGAAGACTTCTTGGGGCCTAAGCACGAGGGATAAAGAGAGTTGTATGCTTTATAGAATTGCCACAAGCATTTTTAACACAATGCTGTGATTTTTTGGGACATGAAGTTTCACTTTGGTATATGTGACAAGCAGAGACCTAAGATATTCAAAATTTAAAAAAGATAAATTGCTTTACGTCTCCATTTCACCCAAACTCGAGAGAGATTATCCTATGTATCTTACTAGGTCATCTATCCCTTTTTCTAGATGGGTGTACATAGGAACAACTTAGCATTAGATGCTATCAAGGTTCTGCTATTGGTCTTAGTAATGGTGGCAGTTGGGCAACAGCCACCAACCCCGAGGAAACCCTTTTAGCTTTGACTAACCTTATCAACTGGTAAACTTGGAGCTCTTTAACCCAAAACACTAATGTAGCTACAATATCAAAATTCCCATGTACTTTCTATCTAGAATAAATCATGCATAAGAGGTGAAATATGCTTCATTCTAGTGTCATAGTCTTCACGAAGGCAGAGCACATTTCATGCCTTTCCATTCCAGGTTGAATTTATCACCAAGATAATCCTTCAGGTTCCTCAATGAACCTGATATTTGGCTAGATCAGCATATGGCATATTCTACTGACGCTACAGGATATTTGATGCATTTCTATAGTTAGAGCAAGCAATGGCTCTCGATACAGGGTAGAGAGCTACTTGACGTCTTGACCATGTTTCCATGTCCCCGAGTGAAACTAAAGAATTTGAACTTTGTATTCTTTTTGGTGGTTCTGTCACAAGAATAAACGTCAAGTCAGCACTGTATTTACCCACTGGCAGATACTAGTACTACTTGTCTTACAATCCGTGCGCCCTTTGTTTCACAAGCAAAGAATAGAACTGCAGAGTGGTTCATCACCAAAAGCGTGCCCTTTGACATTTCAAAATTTGCATTATCAGTTTTGTGAATCTCTTGGAAGACTTATCGTTGCCCAGTGTTTGAAATTTAATTTGATTCTTGAGATCCCATATTTCCTTGACATATAAATTAAGAGTATCATTCATATTACTAACTCTTGTATGTATGAGAATGTAACCTATGCAAAGTTAGTTTTTCCGACCCTTTGTGATGGTTTCCTTCCCCTGAGGGGCAATATTGCTTCTTGGATGAACCATTTTAGTTGAACCTCTATAAGAGAGTGAAAATAGTTATGTATCCTAGTGGTTCAGAGTCATTAAAATTTGTAATATGCCCTATAATTGCCCTTTTTATAGTATTATGTTCATGCATTTGCTTACTCTGAGCCAGTGAAGTTTTTATCACTAAGATATAAAGCAGGAGTGGTTTATACACTATTGTTATTTTTTTCAACAAGCGATGATGTGACTATGCTTCCCCTGAACCGAGGATCTATCTGAAACAGCCTCTCTATCTTCACAAGGTAGGGGTAAGGCTGCGTATACACTACCCTCCCTAGACCCCATTTGTGCGATTACACTGGGTTTTTGTTGTTGTTGTTGTTGTTGTCATATAAATCATGAATATCCTGAGATGAGCAATTTCTTATCTGTAAAGGATGTACACACCGTGCATTATCCATACAATATACTGCTTGTTTCTTTACTTCTGTCGATCGTTACAGCTGTTGGTGTGTTCTGTTGAATCCTTTAGATTAGCAATGGATGATCCATAAATTATTGTAACTGACTAAATGCCTTCTGTTATTTATTCCAAAGCATGACTCGGATGGGTTTGGATCTGCTGGCTTAAAGTCTTTCAGAGCATTAGCAGTCATTGGTGCTGGAGTCTCTGGGCTCCTTAGCTTCACAAGTGTTGCTTATTCTGATGAAGCAGAACATGGGTTAGAGTGTCCCAGCTATCCTTGGCCTCACCAAGGCATCCTCAGTTCTTATGACCATGCTTCGTAAGTATATGCTATGCTGCCACATGGAAAAGTTTATTGGAGGCCATATCAATCTGCTGTTTATCCACAACTAAATTTAACCTTGTGTTAAGTGAAACGGAGACACCCATTTATTTTCAATGCATTTATTTGCGTGACAGGATACGTCGAGGTCACCAGGTTTACCAGCAGGTGTGTGCGTCGTGCCACTCGATGTCACTAATTTCGTACCGTGATCTTGTTGGTGTGGCATACACTGAAGAAGAAACTAAGGCCATGGCAGCAGAAATTGAGGTGGTTGATGGCCCTAATGACGAGGGCGAGATGTTCACCCGCCCTGGGAAGTTGAGTGATCGTTTTCCACAGCCTTATGCAAATGAAGCAGCTGCAAGGTTTGCTAATGGCGGAGCCTATCCTCCTGATCTAAGTCTTATCACTAAGGTACTGTCTTGGTCTTTTACTTTCAGCTATATTATATCTGCATTGCTTGATTTTTTCTTTCTGATTTCAGGCCCGACATAATGGTCAAAACTATGTTTTTGCTCTTCTAACTGGCTATCGGGACCCTCCTGCTGGTGTCTCGGTAATTTCTGTCTCTCAAACTCCTTTTGGTTTGTGACTAGATTTTGTTTGTTTAGAATAGGGAAGCAGCAAAAACAAAAATTCTGCAAATCTGAAGATATTGTTGTGAAGGGATATGGATGTGCTCCAGTTTAATTGGTTGTTACCTGCTAGTGACCACTGTTTCAGTACTCATTTATTGTTATCACATTTTTCTTGTGGAAGTTTGAGAACCATAATACTTTTCAACTCTGATTATAGATTAGGGAAGGTCTTCACTATAACCCTTACTTCCCTGGTGGAGCTATAGCGATGCCTAAAATGCTTAATGATGGTGCTGTTGAGTATGAAGACGGTACACCTGCTACTGAGGCACAAGTAATATGTCTTGTTCTCTTTCTGCTTTATTTATTGACCCCCTTTTGAGAGATGGAAGTAATATTTCTCACTGTGCAGATGGGAAAAGATGTTGTGTCGTTCTTGTCATGGGCTGCTGAACCAGAAATGGAAGAGAGAAAGCTGGTGAGTTGCAATCTTCCATTTGGTCCTTCCCCTGCATTATGTTAGTATGCACAAGGCAGAGGTTTTGGGCGTCATTTTTGTATTGAAGTTCATTCAATAAAGTCTCTGTATACTCAACCTCAGCCTTGTGCATGCTGAACTGATATGCTCAACCTCTGCCTTGTGCATACTGATCTGATATTGGATCCTCATTGACAGTTAGAATGTGCCATGAAATGAATTTTCTGACCACTTGGGTATTGTAATTCCTACAGATGGGTTTCAAATGGATATTTGTTTTGTCACTTGCACTTCTCCAAGCTGCTTACTACCGTCGCCTGAGATGGTCTGTCCTGAAATCTCGCAAATTGGTCCTTGATGTTGTCAACTGATCTTATTCACTTCTCGCAAATGTGAATTGAGAACATTTCTTTCTGTGTACTGTAAGTGTACGGGGCATAAGGTATAATAAAATACTGCCCAGTGATTTGAATTGTAAGTGTTATACGACAGAATCTAGACAATAGATCTGTCATTGGAGCTATTCTTTTTGAGGGGGAATAAATATCTGCTGTACTATTTACAGTATCGTCTATATGAAAGCTTTATTATTTGGAATTGAAGTGTGAATAGTTTTGATGGGCACCTTTGTTCTGAAGTCACCCAGGAGATGGGATTTTTGCCTGTTTTGGATGGAAGCTTTACTTCAAGTTTTATCCCTACTAATGGAAGCTAAATGAGATCTTCTCTCTAAAGTTTAATGGATTTAGATGAAATGGTTAAAATAATTCAAACATATAATCAGACGTACTATATTAGGTAAAGGCTCTAGATTGGAGTTTCATTGTTTTTCAAATAACAAAATAATTTAACTGGTAAGGTAAATTGTTTGGTTTGATGTAAATGCCGGGCACGGAAAAGTATTTACCAATGCAATTTGTACCCAATGAATTCCTAAGTCAGCTCAACCGTGATGATCTTATAACTTACTTGAAAGTTCTACACTTTTTGAATTGTCATCTACACTTCTCCCCAAGAAGATTTCTGCTTTGGCACTCGGAAGGAGGAGAAAGGAAATGTTAGCTTCAACTTCTTCTGGGAATAAAGAACCAATAAAGATTGTTTGGGATAAAGAGAACATATTTTATAAGGTGCAGCCAAATTAATTTAAACTTCTGGAGGTTCAAGGTTGTTGAGCTCTATTTATTTCATATTAGATATTGTAAGACCTTTCAAAGGGATTTATGAAGATCTTAGGGGTATTTGGTAAGAGGATATCCCATGAGATTAGCTATCCCACCTTCCGCATGGGATAACTAATCCCACCATTGGAAAACACACTATCAAAGGATTAATTATCCAGGGATTGGTTATCCAGGGATTGTTATCCCATCCTCTCATAGTGACAAAAATAACAATACAATCTCGGGATAACTAATCTCAGGATTAGTTATACCGCGATTTTATCCCAACCAAACATGGGATAAACTCATCTCAAATTTAATTTCGGGATTAATTATCCCTTATTCCTCGTACCAAACGATCTATTATCCCGAATTAACTAATACCCCAAACCAAACATGGGATAAAGTGTAAGTCCCCGTAAAATTTTACCAAAAACCCGAAATTTCGTAGTGCCGAAGTAGTCTTCGCGGTACAGACTTTTTGGGTTAAACAGTGTGTTGGGGATTTGAAGAAAACTTTTGGAAGAATAGGGCATTTCTGCGGTCCACTATGCAGCCGCAGAATCACTTTGTGAGCCGCAGAATGGCCGCAGAGTGAAGCAGAAACTTGAGCAAAAATTGTGGACCATTATGCAGTCCATCATGCGGTCGTAGAATTACTTTACGGGCCGTAGATTGCATCGCAGAATCGATGTGAGGAATTTCGGGAGGAGATTCTGAGTCCCGTTTTGCGACCGCAGAACGACCGCATACCCAGGCAGAGGTGCCCAGCTCCGGAGGGCCATTTTGCAGCCCATTTCGCGGACCGCAGAAGCATATGCGATCGCAGATTATGTTTCGGGGCTTCATTTTTCTGGTTTTTATAACCCGACCCTATTCCTTAGGTAAAAATTTGATATTTTGAAAGTGAGGGGATGCTCTAGAGTGGGAGAGGGTTCCTCAATAATTTGTTCTCCAATTATTGCTCAAATCTTGGAAGATTAACAAGGGAAACTCACTAGGTCTTCATCCTAGAGGTAAGATTCTACATCCTAACCCTCAATTTCAAAATTTAACTAAAAATGGTAAATTAGTAAGGAAATTCTTGGGTGTGTGAGTTGTTCATCTTGCATGCACGTGCTATCAAGGGTGGTAGGAAGGTTGTTGACCTAAATATGGTAGATAATGGGTTGTGGGATGATGGAATCAACCATAGGAGGACCTTGAAACCTTAATGCACACCTAGTGTTTGATAAAATGCTCAAATGAGCTAGAACCATAATCATCTTCCTAATTTTTGGTTCAGCTTGTTATATTTCTAAAATAGATCGAAGCTGCTAAGATTTACGGAACATTTTAGAGTTTAAGGAAGCTCAAGTGAGGTATGTTGGTAAACTCTTCTCGCAGAATTGAACCCCACATTACCCTTATAAGTTCCGAGTTGTTCATCATAAATCGATTATTCTGAATAAGCTTTGTGACAAAAGATATATGTTCAATACTTGTTCCAAATGTCATCGTTATGTTGTATTACTATTTGAGAATGTGTTCAAAGTATGGATTGTATATCTAAATGTTATAACTTCAAGTCGTGTTTCAAATGAAAGCTATGATACCAAATTGTGTAGAGATTTGTGATTGTGATTGCACCTCCACCCGCATACATTGGGGTGAGGCGGCAGGGCCGCTTTGTGTAGAGTTTGTGGTATTGTGGTTGCACCTCCACCCGCATACATTGGGGTGAGGCGGCAGGGCCACTTTGTGTAGAGTTTGTGGTATTATGATTGCATCTGCATCCGCATACATTGGGGTGAGGCGGCATGGCCGCTTTGTGTAGAGTTTGTGGTATTGTGATTGCACCTCCACCCGCATACATTGGGGTGAGGTGTCAAGGCCGCTTTGTGTAAAGGTGGTTATAGAGGATCTCGACTTAAAATTTATGAATGTTATGGAAAGCTCTTGATAAATTTGCTTTGGCTTTAATGGCTATCTATGTTTTTCTATTGTCACCCTGATTCATCATATTCATGTTGTATTTCCAAGTTCTTGATTAGGTGTTTGGCTTTCATACTAGTATTCGACATGTACTAACGTCCCTTTTGCCGGGAGTGCTGCATCTTTAATGGATGCAGGTGGTTCCACAGCGGAGGACATTGACTAGTGATAGCGGTACTTATTCTTCCCAGCTGACTTGGTGAGCCCTATTTCATTCCGGGGTAGTGCATCTTTTGTTCCGTGTGTATTACTATGTTGTGAGGTATAACCGGAGCCTTGTTGCCGGCACCATCGTTGTACTCTTTGTATCTATTAGAGGCTCCATAGACATAGTGTGGGTTGTGTAGTGGTGTTGGGAAGGTTAAACTAAAAATGTTGTAATTGTACCATATGCTTCCACTATTAACCTATGGTTGTGAAATGTATTATGTTGGAGACTTGTAAATGATGCAACTAATGGTACTGAACTGGAGTGGTACACATGACTCTCATTGTCTAAAATGTATCCATTCTGTATTTATGGGTGAGTTGGGTAGAAAGAAATCTAGCAGGCTTGCTCGGTCGGGTTATCTCGGTTGAGCGCTGGTCGCGTTCCCCGAGGTCGGGGCACCATGGCCGTTCTCATTGATTGGGGATGGTTGATTTTGATGTAATAATGGGGATGGACTGGCTTTATTCATGTTTTACCAAGCTTGATTGTCGAACCAGAACCGTTAGGTTTGAATTTCCAAATGAGTCAGTGATTGAATGTAAGGGGGATAACATGGTGCCGAAGGGTAGGTTTATTTTCTACCTTAAGGCCACGAAGATGATTAACAAGGGGTGTATCTACTATTTGGTCCGTGTTACAGACACCGATGCCGAGGCACCTACACTCGAGTTTGTGCCGGTTGTGAATGAGTTTCCAGAGGTCTTTCCGGATGAGCTCCCTGGGATCCCACCAGACAGGGAGATTGATTTGGGATTGATGTGATGTTGGGTACGCAACCCATATCTATTCCACCTTACAGAATGGCACCGATAGAATTGAAGGAACTAAAGGAACAATTGAAGGACTTGCTCGAGAAGGGTTTCATCCGGCCAAGTGTGTCGCCTTAGGGTGCACCATTTCTCTTTGTAAGAAAGAAATATGGGTCACTGAGGATGTGTATTGACTATCGGCAGCTCAACAAGGTAACAATCAAAAATAAGTACCCACTACCAAGTATATATGACTTGTTTGATCAATTGCAGGGTTCTAAGTACTTCTCCAAAATTGATTTAAGATCCAGGTATCACCAATTGAAGATCAGGGAGCAACATATTCTGAAAATAGCTTTCAGGACTCGGTATGGGCACTTTGAGTTTCTGGTAATGTCCTTTGGGCTAACAAATTTCCTGGCAGCTTTCATGGATCTTATGAATCGAGTCTTCAAGCCCTTTTCTTGACTCCTTTGTGATAGTGTTCATTGACGATATTCTGGTATATTCACGCAGTCGAGAGGACCATGCCGATCATCTCAGGGCAGTTTTGCGGACTCTATATCAGCACCAGTTGTATGCAAAGTTTTCAAAATGTGAATTTTAGCTGGAATCTGTCACATTCTTGGGTCATGTCGTCTCCAGGGAAGGAATTAAGGTTGATCCTCAGAAGATTGCAGATGTGAAGAATTGGCCTAGACCTACAACTCCAACAGAGATTCGTAGTTTCTTGGGATTAGTGGGGTATTACAGGAAGTTTGTGGAGGGGTTATCTACCCTTGCCTCTCTGTTGACTAAATTGACGCAGAAGGCGAGTAAGTTTCAATGGTCTGATGCTTGTGAAAAGAGTTTCCAGGAGTTGAAATCAAGATTGACTACAGCACCGGTGTTGACCCTACCAGAGGGTACAAATGGGTTTGTGGTGTATTGTGATGCTTCAAGAATCGGGCTTGGGTGTGTATTGATGCAACATGGCAAGGTGATATCTTATGCTTCTAAGCAACTCAAGAATCATGAAAAGAACTACCCAACACATGACTTAGAACTTGCAGTAGTGGTATTTGTGTTGAAGATTTAACGTCATTATCTGTATGGGGTCAATGTAGATATATTCACGGACCATAAGAGCCTTCAATACATTTTCAAACAGAAGGAATTGAATCTGAGGCAGAGAAGATTGCTTGAGTTACTCAAAGATTACGAGATCGATATCCTATATCATCGGGGGAAGGCTAATGTTGTGGTGGATGCTCTTTGCCGGAAGTCTATGGGTAGTTTGGCTCACTTGGAAGCATATCAAAGGCCATTGGCCAAGGAAGTTCATTGGTTGGCTAGTTTGGGAGTTCGTCTTGCGGACTCTAGTGAAGGAGGGGTGATTGTGCAAAATAGGGCTGAATCATCGCTCATTGTTAAAGTCAAGGAGAAGCAATACAACGACCTATTGTTGGTACAATTGAAGGAGGGGATTCATAAACATAAGACTGTGGATTTTTCTATTGGCATGG